TTATGGATCAGAAATCCAAGGTACGGATCTTCTGGATTGAGTTACGTAGGATTGTGGACCCTACTGTCGACCTTTGACCAACGGTTGACTTTTGGTAAATGAGTTTCAAATCATTCTAGAACATCCTTGGGGATGTATTTTATGTAAGTTACATGTTCTATTGATAAGAATTTTGAGACATTATTTGATAATTGTTATAGGCGACGATAGTTTGTGATGCCTCGATATTTGTGCTAGGGAATTGTAGAGTAGACTTCAGGTGAGTGAGTTTTTTCCTCTTTATAGTATATATATGATTGATATTTCCACAAATTCTTTTAAATTGATTTATGCATTTTACGCCATGTCATATATATATATATATATATATATATTTTAAAATATTATGATATGGTTGAGTTTTAGATTACATCATGGCATATCCATATGCATATTATCTGCATATAATTGTTGTGAATGCTTTGAAGTGCTAAGGTGAACGTGGGATGCGCATGTAAGTTCATGTGAGTTTATGGTGTTATTTGAAATGATTGAGTTATGGCATGACTATATTTTAGGCAACTTCGACACTGTCGTACAGGTTGCAATAATTGGCAACTTCGACACTGTCGTACAAGTTGCAATCATAGGCAACTCCGACATTGTCGTACATGTTGCAATAATAGGCAACACCGACACTGTCGTACAGGTTGCAATCACAGGCAACTCCGACACTGTCGTACAGGTTGAAATAATAGGTAACTCCGATACTGTCACACAGGTTGCAATAATAGGCAACTCCGACACTGTCGTACATGTTGAAATAATAGGTGACTCCGACACTGTCACACATGTTGCAATAATAGGCAACTCCGACACTGTCGTACAGGTTGCCTATGAGTCATACAAGTTGCATTAGGCAACTCTGACTCGTGTGTCAGCATAGATTGATGAACACCTGATTTTATTATACTGCTACTGATATGTAGTGATTTGGAATATTTCCTGGATTTACTATTGATTTACATTTGATTTCATACTTATACGTAGTATGATTTTTTGAAAACTATACGGGTGCGTTTGTTGCACCGGACTGTCTCGGACTGGACTAGCTGCAGGGACTAAGTTGGACTGGCTTAGACTAGACTAAGCTGGACTAACTTAGTGAAGCGTTTGGTGCAGTGTCGGACTAAGAAGCAGGATAATGAAAACAGGATTATTCACCATATTTGTGTTTGCTTAGACTAGGATTACATTATTGTTCTATTTTAATAGCTCCAATACATGTGTCCAACGCCCTAAATATTGGAGGGTTTGGAATTGGAATTGGGGTTGGCATAGGTGTAGCAGCATTGAAATTGAAATGGGAGTAACAATCTTACAAATTACTACAAATATTTGGGCACATTGCCCTGAGTTTAATCTCTTGAATTGTTATTGTAATCAATCCACAACTTGCCCTTAAAAGTTGATTTAATTTGTCTTCTTATCACACATTAAACGTCATTAGCCATCAAATACTTATATCAACATAACTTGATCCAAGGATTTCTTAGTCCGACAAATACATCATTCACTAAATTTTCATCCAGGATATTTTACAAAATGCCAGTTAACTATAGTATAGCATTCCAAAGTAGATCTCCATACTTTACAAAATCCTAGTTAACATTTGCCAAAATACGTCATAGTGCAAAGCTAAGTTAGAAGCCATAACCTAAGATTGTACGATTAATAAAATACCTCCATGTCTAAGGGCACCACATAATATACTCATCCGCTTGCTTTGTCGCTTAAAAGCCTTTGGACGAACACTTTCTTGAGTCCCGAATTGATTGCCCTGAACACTCCCACATTTTGTGGTTTTTCCAAAATAAGAGTCAATGCATCAATTTGATCCATAGGAGAAAGACCCATTGCTTCAAGTTCGTTAGCTATGTCAGTATGATTTGCAGTACCTTGAACTAAAGCTTCAGTTACCATTTGCATCCTCTTCCCACTTTCAACATAAAATTCTTTCAGTCCACTAATAATTGCCTCGGTTCCATCACTTGAATTTCCCATAGCTCTTTTCCTCTTTCTTTGGCTATTTTCAGATGGGGTGCTTTGTTGGCTTTGTTGGTTCATTGAAGATACAACATTTTCACCTCCAATATCACTTGCACCAACTTGATCATGACTTTGTTCCTCCATCATTTCAGCAGGGGTTTCGGCCTTTCCAAATATATATGCAAATCTATCGTACAGTGGAAAAGGTTTGCTTCTCCATCCATCAGCTTCTTTATTTTTCTAAGATTATATGAACATAGCAAAACTAAAATTTAGCATGCATAACAAATATAGCAGCAAGAATATAACTAATGTATAAATAAAATAGGATATGAACCTGCACATAAGAAAGCCATGCGTCATCACTGTCAACTTCAACGCACTTTTTGACATCATTCCATGCAAATCCACTTGTGTTTATCATGTCAAGGACCAAACTATATGTTTTTTTCCATTTCTTCAACTTTGACTCAATATGTGGAGTTGCCTTTATATTTGAATTAGGACATAAAACATTGACAGCTTTCGCTATTTCAATCAAAGTACCTTGTTTGAAAGCATCTGTGTCACATCGTTGCTTCCGAGCAACAAAATCCTCAAGAACGGATAGTAATACTTCTTCCTCAAATGCTTCCCATTTACGCCTTCTTCCTTTTGGCTCTTGAGAAGCATTCAAATTATTGTGGTTATCCATACCTAAACAAAAAATATTTGAAAGTACTAAAATACAATACAAAGAATCAATTTGCATAATATCCAATCAATTTGCATAATATCCAATCATTTTAATAATATGCAACATATGCATGATAAAAAGGAAAACTAAAATAAAATCTTATCATTAACACATATAGCTAGTTCGGTTGCTGGTTCCTAATTGCTCTCCACTCATTATACATTTCCTGAGCCATGGCATTCCTCTTTGCAGTCCATTGGTCAGATGTTTCAACACTACCAACATATTCACCTTCTTCTGTATTTTGTCCATCTTCTATTATTGGCACATTCTCCATTGGATCTATAGACATCTCTTGCCTAATAAGATTGTGTAGTAGGCAACAAGCGGTAATTATTCGACCTTGTGTCCTTATCGGATAGAAAGATGGACTCCTTAGTATCCCCCACCTTCCTTTTAGCAAGCCAAAACAACGTTCAATTACATTCCTTGCCTTAAAATGCTTCATGTTAAAATATTCTTCCTTATTAGAAGGTGTTCGTCCTTCCCATTCAGATAAATGATAAGGTATTCCTCTATAGGGTGCAAGGAATCCTTCACCATTTGTATAACCACCATCTACAAGGTAATAATAACCTAATTAAAAAAAAGACCTTATATTAGTATTTTGTAGTTCACAAACAAAACTAGACCTAACTTACAAAGTTGAGACTAACTAATAATCTTACCCGTTGGTACCTTAAAACCATTAGGCCTAGTAATTGCATCATGTAGCACTCTAGAGTCTGATGCGGAACCCTCCCACCCCGGAAACACATATATGAACTGCATATCTCCTGAACATACACCTAATACATTAGTTGCGACTCGACCCTTTCTAGTTCGGTATCTTGGTTTGTCAATTTCAGGTACATGCACATCAATGTGTGTTCCATCTAATGCTCCCAAGCAATTCTAAAAAAAAAAATAAGCTTTTGTTAATTTATACAAAGGGAATGAAGAGTTAAAGCTTAGGGAAAATGAAAATAATTATCAACATACCTTAAAACATCGCCACCGAGGATCTGTAGAATCAATAGGCACAGGTTGAGGGACTTTTAGTAGGATACCTTGTAATCGCAAAATTCCTTGCAATACACTATTGAAATACCTACTTATAGTCTCTCCCGACCTATAAAATCTACCACCAACACTACGAATCTTAGTATGATGTGCTAGTATTTGTAAAGTCATACACACCTGCTCCTCTACAGAGACCAAACCATCCGTTTTTACCCTCCCATCTTGACGAAGTAAGTCACATAATATGCCAAAAGTCCTTCTATCCATTCTCAATTCGTTGACACATTCAACATCAGTATTCCCTATTATACCATTCAGATAACACAAACTAATCTCTCGTCTAACAAGTGAACGGTTAGTCAAGGTGCGTCGTTCAACATGTCTCTGTTTTGCCTTTAGCATCAGCAACACAAGAATCGTACAAATGCAAATCGTCTCTAAATGAGACATCTCTAACAATAAGATCAATAAAAGCTTCCTTCGATCCATATCTATCCAAACAAAAAAAAAAAGGAAAAAAATATTAAGGACATTATGCTACTGCATGCTTTCCATCTGGCACAAAGAACAAACCAAATAATATAATCCAGCTATGCTATATCAGCTGATAAAACAACATTACCGCAAATATCAAAAGCAAACTGAAACAAGTACAAAATTTCTAGGTATACTTATACCTAGAAAAACAGAAATCATGGAAAAATAGGTAGGGAAATGACAAGTTGCACTTGAACTAATCAATCGTGCAGTGTTTTAGTTTAAAATACAACTCGGGGTGTAGAGAAGAGGGTTTTAAAAAATATGTACGAAAAATCTGAATGAGAGGTTCAAACAAAACATGTCAAACAAATCTGAATGAGAGCTGTCAGATAATATGAAGCAGAAGATTCGAGCAGTTTTAAACTAGGGATGAAGATTCAAACTCAAGACATTTTCCAAATATCAGTAAAGGAAGTTGCACAACTAGACTAAGAGAAACATCTCTTCCAACAATGCATAAATCATAGCCACTGATAGATTCAGAAATGTTCAAAATATCAGATACATTTCCTCATAGGTGAAAACAAATGGACAAAGATACAGCTCCTGACCACAAATTTTAGTTCAACCTGGTTTGGACATCACCTTGCAACGTTACCTGAACATGAGTTTTCAATGACATGCTGTTCTCAAAAGCTTAACTTACTCCGATGTGAAAGAAAGAATGTGTGCAAGTACTGATATTGTACGAATCATGGATGAATATGTAATATAAAATCGATAATAGCTTTTAGATGCTTATAGATGCTTATATCTGGTTATCTTAGTTTCCATTTCCCAGTATTACCTCTACATAGACATCACATAACGTAGAAGCTACATATAAAAGTGCTTTCAGTGTTTTGCTGGACAAAGTGCATTCTAAATCTGCATGCGTTAGTATTGACATTCAAATTCCTTATTCTGTCTCTTTGCAGTATAATTATCCTTAACTCAGTCATCATCCCAACTCTACACTGGATATTACCTGATAGATGCCCAGAATATAGTTCTCAAGAGCTCTGCTCATTTGTTGGTACATTGAAATTTTATTCCGTCTTGCGGCATGGACTCGTACAACTCTTTTATGTAAGTATGCAGCCAATTTAAGATCCTCACTTTGTGCATGGATGGCATTCTATTGAATATTTCTTAGTGGCAAAATGGATGAATATGCATTTTTTGTGTAATGTTTTGCCTCATTAAGTTTTGTAATCTTCGTGATATGGCTAAAGAAAGTGTATGTGTCATGTAATATTGGATGTTTAGTTCTCTTGTTTCTGATTATTGTACTGGTATGTAATCTTGGTTTGTTTGTTATCTTACAAAATATTTCTTTATCACTATAGATGCCTGAATTACTGAAGGGATTCAATTCCTTTCTCAATTCACGGAATACATAATTTTCATTTATTTATTTTTGCTTTGCAGGTAACTTGGTTCTACCCACTGTACATATTCAGCATTATCCTGAGCAACCTCTGGTACTACCAAATTATCCCCTTTTGCTTAATTGTTTTACCCCTACGTTATTTACTTGATTCTGTTTGAATTACCATAGGTATGAACTGAGCACAGGTAAGGTATACATCTATTTCTTGCAATGCAGAATGTTTAAAGTTCTGATTGGAGTGACAATAGTTTTTAATATATGATATTTTGTTTAAAGTTCTGCATGTCTTGACATTTCCACTTCCCGATGTCTTTCTTTTTCCAATTTCTACTATGTGATTATCCAAATCTACAATTTTATTTTAACTAAAGGTACAATGACATTGCTAAGTATGGATTTTCTGCAATGGGGAGATCCACGCCAACCACATTGGATCCTGTCAGACAAAATGATGTTGGTTTGGAAAGACCTGCTGGCGTAGAAGGGTAATTAACTTATTCTTAAATAGAGCTTAAGGTTTTTATTATTGTTATTGTTTTATATATTTATTATTTCAGACATTTCTTGTTGAATAGATATTTATGTATCTCATGAATTGTGTATGCATCTGTTTAATCTGCAGGGTCATGATTGGTATAGGAGAGCAGGTGTATTCAGTACTTCTTTTGACCTGTTTCTTCCTAGAGGTATAGATATCTTTTATTCTTTATTTATTTGGGTGTATGGATTCATAAAGGGAGGAACAGGATTTAGTTTTCATACTTATTAGACTTAGAGAACGATAGAGAGAGAGGAGTTTATATTCAAATTGCAATATGCTCCATGGCTTATGTGCCACTTTTTGGATGACAGAATCGATGGCTTCTGCAGGTATATGTGACTGGATATATACCATATGTGGGGAAGGCAGTAAATTTTCTGCTTCTGTCCTGGATGTATGCCTATTACTGTTTCGAGTACGTGGTGCATATACCTTTTTGGCTTAATCTAATTTCCTAGATAAGTGTGTGCTAATGCTCCTTTTGAACTCTTTTAGGTACAAATGGAATTTTTCTGAAGTTCGTCTTGAAAAAAGGCTGGATTTCTTTGAATCTAATTGGGCATTTTTTGCTGGTTTTGGTAAATATACAACAATTTATCATATTCACTAAACAAATTAATATAGGAGTACTTGTAAGTTGTATACACGAGTTACCTAGCAAAGGCAATTTTATAACAACAAAGTTGATCCTTAAGCCACTTTGATTTCTTAAGCCGATAACCATTTACCAAAAGTAACATAATTTGCATTCAACAGATGAACATTCATATGGAAATCCAAAATTAAAGCGAACAAATCAAAGCATTATAACTACCAAAACACAAAAGCCAATGTACTTCCGAATCCTAACAACATCAGATTGAACACAAAAGGATGATAAAGTGAAACACTACCCCATTTTCTCAGCTCAATTCTCAACTGCCAAACCCAGTTTCATGTTTCATCTCACTTACATCTGCTTTTGCAGCAGCAAACTCCTAAAATAGGATTTAATCCAAATAAAACCCACATATGATTTCTTAAGCCGACAACCATTTACCAAGGTTGCAAATAACCATTTACCAAGCCGATAACCATTTCTTAAGCCAAATAAAACCCACAAAAGCCAATGTACTTCCGAATCCTAACAACATCATAATCAACATACCCAACATGCTAAGCAGGCTACTTCTACCAAGGTTGCAGATTGACAGTGAATTTTAGTGAAGTTCAGATGCTCTAATCAATCTCAATTTGACCTAAAAATCAAAACCCTAATTTGTTCAAGTGCAGAGGTCTAGGATTCAAAATTTCTCAAACCCAAAACAACAAAATCAAATAAAGTTTAGTAATATCACGATCTGCAAAACAAATGACGAAATAAATCGAAGATTCGAAGTTTACCAGACAACTTGGAGCAGATGAGGGCGAGCAGATGCAGATGAGGAAGACGCAGAGATGAGGGTGAGGAAGACGACGATGAGCGAGGGCAAGACGACGATGAGGGAAGACGACGATGAGCGACGGCAAGGAGGATGAGCAGGAAGTCACCCTCGCGATTTTCTCTGGGCTTACGAGTCCGCCCAATTTTGGGGATCCTGGTTAAGACCTCGTAAGGAGGTGTTTAATCCGAGCAAATCCCACCTAATCTCATTAAACCAAATCCTGCAGTAGACCAAACAAGGGACTATAGTCTAGTCCAGTCCAGTCCTCCTTAATCCTATCAAACAAACGGGCCCTACAGGTTTTACAGCAAGGGGTTATAACGTTTTCAAAAAGTTTTTATTAAAACTTTATTTTCAGGCCCACTCACCCTTATTTTTTCGCCTTTCCAGGTTTTAATAGCTGAGTTTTCTTATCGATAAGGATTTGTGGCAAATCTTGGTATTGGAGATTATCTTCGATGGTATGATTCTCAATCCAATCTACTGTACTTTACTTATGCTCTAAAGTCACGTGTGAAATGGGTTCATTCCAGCTCACAACGCATTCTTGTATTTAGGCACTTTTAGGTTTAAATTCATTCACATTTTCCACCTCACTACACTTTATAGCTTCGTCACCTTCTAGAGGTCGACCATCACAACTCGATTCGGAGTCTTAGTAGACAATCCGGGTTGGGATATGTCATTTCATGAAAAGGACTTGAGCTAAGTTTATTTTAACAAAAAGCCACGCTATAACTTTACTTAATGAAAAAAACTTAAATTTTAATGAAAATGACACAATTTTAATATAAAATTAAAAAAAAAAAAAAAAAACCTGACCCGCGAACACTGTTTATGAAACTGAACAGTACTACATTGTTTATGAAACTTAATGATACTACACTATTTATGAAATTGAAAACTATTTATAAAACTGATCGGTACTGCACTATTTAAACTAAATGGTATTATACTATTTATGAAACTGAACAGTACTAGAATATTTATGAAATTGAACAGTATTGCACTATTTATTAGTCCAAATTCATAAATAGTGCTTAGTTCTTGGTTCACTTTCATAAATAATGCCTAGTTATTGGGTCTTGTTAGTGTATAGTAATTGATGCAGTTTCATAAATAGTGTGACAACCCATCTCTAATTCTATGATTTTATAAATTTTAAAAGTGTGAATTGATGAAAATGCTCTTAGAGGCAAAGATTTGACTACCTTTGACCATTGTTTAGAGAGACTATGACTTATTCTTTTAGCGTATTTGCATAGTACGCAACGATATGAACGCGTAGGTGCAAGCAAAATCAAATTTGGTGTTACGACAAAAATTTTACGAAACTTCGAATGTGAAGAATGTTTTAGTAATTTCGCATTTACGAGAGATAATTTTTATTCATGTTTTGTCTTTTTGTGGTTTGTGTTGTGTGCTATGTGGGACCTACGCCCCATCCCTTCATCTTTCCCCCGTATTTCCCTCTCATATATCCATCTTTTTTTTTGTCATCCCATCTCGTTTCTTTCTCTTCTGTTGCACATCTCTCTCTTTCAAACTCTCTATCTTTTCTCACCTATGCAAATACCGAGCCGTCGAGCTCCCTCACCTCACACTCTCCCATTCTTCTCTTTCCCATCCCAAATCCTAGAAATTATAAACTCTGCTCACTACACATCAGTAACCTGGACAATGACACCACCATCTATGGGTCTTCTCCTTCCTCCCTCATCTTCTGTTTTCCCCGAGTCTAGGAACCACCACCAGTGCTTATTTTCTAGCAAACTCCCAGCAGCTCCACCACGGTGAGCCTCGACACCACCCCAACCTCAAACCTTTCTTATTTTGAACCCCTAATATTATTTTTAACATTAAAATAATGATTGGGGGGGGAGGTGATTTAGTGCATAAAACAAGTCAGGGAAGATTTCCCTAGATTTTTGGAAGGAACCAACCATGGTCATTGAGCCACTTTCTGACCACTTTTTAGGCGAACTCCAACCATGACATGACCTCAAATGGGTAATGATCTATTCCTCACATTTCTAGCTTTACTCTGGCTTTTATATCATTGAAAATGACTAAGATTTGAGCTCGTTAAGAGCTTTGGAAGTCGGACCAAAAACCTACAAAACTGTAAGAACTCGCGAGGAAGGCGAGTATAGTCGTACTAGCAGGCGCATGGGCGTGCATAGACTTGTAAAGATGGTCGGCACGTACGATGCGTGGCTGCCAGTTCAGCTACCTTGTGGTGGTGCGTGCGGTGGGCTGTGGAGGAACCCGAGGTCCTTCATTCTCGACGTGCCAAACCTGAATCCGCCGTTCGTTTTTTGAAATTTGATTATTTTAAAATAGTTCATTTATTAGCCGTACTTTGTACAAAAATGCATTTGTACGTTAGTACATTACATATTTACGTAAATGGTTTCGTTTCTAGGTGAAATGCATCGCAAAGATCTTCGATGCCTGCAAGGTGGGTTCGACTGGACGACATGAATTGCGAGTGGGTATTTTCTTTGAATATATACATATATTTGCTTAGTTTCCATATACACATCTAATAATGAATTTTCTATATGATTGCCATAATTAAATTAATGTTTATAGGAAATGATGTAATGATGAGAATTAGGAAATCATTATAAATCTCACTGGATGCCTTAATTAATTTACGACTATAAATAATATTATGTTGACTAGAATTATCGATTCACTGTGGCATGACTATATTTATTTTATTTGCTCATCGTTTGCTGCACCGGTGTTAGTACTCACCCGGGCTAGGGCCAGTATTTCACGTGTATGTTCACATCGCACCGTACACTCACTTTGGATTCATTGTAGGTGCCCTGTCCTAGATTGCTATAGGCAATTAGGACTCGTATGTGACGCACATAGCGCCAGTCTTCACATGATTGTAGTACTAGAGCGTAAATCATAATTACACCCAGTCATGTTCATGCTAGAATACCATTGCATGAACTCAGTGTGTCAGCATATCTCGATGAGCACTTGATGGGAAATGTTTATTTCTACGAGATATTGTGATTACTAGAAGTTATATGCCTATTTACGAATTTTGTGACATTGAATTCTTTAGATATTGCAGGCTACGATAAGTATTTTCTTACTATACGTAATATGTATATTTTGGAAACTATATTTGTTTTACGGTAAGGGGTTACTATGTTTTCAAAAAGGTTTTTACAAAGCTTTATTTTTAGGCCCACTTACCCTTATTTTTCGCCCCTCCAAGTTTTAGTGTTGAGCTTTTGTGTCGACTAGGATTCTTGGCAAATCTTGGTATAGGTAGTTACCTTCGACAATATAATTCTTATCCTACTTTACTATACTTTACTTATGTTCTGACATCACGTGTGAAATGGGTTCATTCCCGCTCACTAGTGCACTCTTATATTTAGGCACTTTTACGTTTAAATTTATTCACATTTCCCACATCACTACACTTTATGGCTTCGTCACCCTCCGGGTGTCGCCCGTCACAGCTCGATTCAGAGTCCAGGTGGGCATTCCGGATCGGGGTGTGTCAAATAATGTTCATTCTTAGTCCAGTTTCATAAATAATGTCTAGTTATTGGTCCACTTTTATATATAATGTCAAGTTCTTTGTCATGCTTCATAAATATTGCCTAGTTTTTTGTTTAGTTTCATAAATACTGTCTCTTTAGGGTGTGTTTGTTGCACCGGACTATTTCGAACTGGACTAGCTTCAGGGACTAAGTCAGACTGGCTTAGACTAGATTAAGCTGGATTAACTTCGTGAAACATTTGATGCAGTGTTGGATTAAGAAGTAGAATAATAAAAATTAATTTTTTTTTCTTTTACTTTTTCTAGAATTCTTAAATGCTTTCCCTTTTTCCTGCTCTTTTGTTCTTTTTTTCTTTTGGAAAAGTTGCTTCGTAACTGGTGCAAAGCTTCAAGGCATTGGGGTATTCGAACTTTTTCTTTCTCTTTTGTTCTTTTTTGTTTCTTGAAAAGGCTCTGCAGGTGGTGCAGAGCTTCAAATGATTGGAGTTATTATAGAGCTTCAAAGAATTGGAGTTATGCAATTCGAATCAGAGGTTCTGCATCGAAGTTTCCAAACAATGACCTTCCTTCCTTATGGATCTCACCAGCCGATTTTCAAGTGGTCTCTTCGATTTGGGTTTCTCTGATGACGAGAAACCCAGATGCCCGCAGCGAGAGGGGCGA